TACTCTGGCTGAGGCCTTGATATGGGCAAAGTCTCACCTCAAAATTCAAAACTTTGATTTCATGGGAAAGATGGGATCCCATAGGCAAATTCTAGTAAAAAGTCGATATCTCAGACAAATCTCAACTTGGGCCCGAACTAACTTAGGGTATATCACTTCTAGCTATGCCCTATCTAATTATCACATCCCCGGTCGAAAAGCTTTTTACCACCTGGGAATGTTCCCTCGTGAGATCTACTTCTTGGCAAAACATCAGCTGAAAAACGAGGGAACAGTTCAGATACCTCCCTAGTAATTTCAGCCCAATTGCAAGCTGGTTTTAGCTAATTCCAGGTCAATTCTGCATCAATTCCAGGTCGATTCTGGAAAATTCTAGATCAATGCCAGCCAATTCCAGCCGATTCCAGCCAATTCCAGACCAATTCTAACCAATTCCAATTCTAACCAATTCTAACCAATTCCAATTCCAATTCCAACCAATTCCAACCAATTCTAATTCCAATTCCAGCCAATTCCAACCAATTCCATTTCCAATTCCAACCAATTCCAACCAATTCCAAGAATTGGAATTGGCTGGAATTGGAATTGGTGCATCCCTAATTTTCAGTCACGTCCACACCGAAACCCTTACACAAATGTTTCACTCTCAGTGTTAACGATTCATTTATTCTTCGTTATGGGCAAACTTTCGAAGCATGAAAGCATCCTCTTTATTCCTTATCTTATGAAATTACTAGTTACATTATTTTGATACTTTTATCTTGATATCGACAATCGCGAAAAGAATATGAATAGAAAACGACACGAACGCAGAAAGCTAATCATGTAAATTGTAGACAAAATTCTACAAAAAAGAATCATTAAATCAATGAGACTGTGTGCGACACATGCAGGTAAATACACTGGGTAGATCTCTGACTAAGAAAAAGTCATCAGTTGTCCAGATAAACGAAAGTCTGTGATTAATTGCCATGTCATATCTGTCTCGATTCTTTGGAATTAATATTCTAGCCATCCATCTGCTATACTTATGACGTTTAAAAAACTCGAAAATTTGTTTAGGAACCAAATTCGTAAGTTGCTTACCAAGATACAAAACTCAAAATAAAATTGGTCAGAGAATTTTGCTAGCAATAGTTTCCAACTTGGCTGAATGTTGTATATGCACAATGCGTCGTTTGTTTGTCAAGGGACTCTTGTGTTACTTGTGCAATATAAAAAGGCTTTACTTATTTTTCTTTTTTCTTTCTTTTTCTTTGTTTTTTAAAATTTCTCTTAATCAAGTGCCTTTTTGAGAACTACTGTCCATGACAACAGTAAAATACACAATGTGAAGAGCAGACAAACAATGACAGCAAACAAAGAAAAACAATTTTGGTAAAACAAAACTCAGTATAAATGAACCGTACGCATCGATACCCATTTGTGTATGATGTGAAACTGTTCCCATCGTTGAACAACAGATAATGACAGATAATGATAGACTTCTTCAGCATCAGGTGAAGAGATGAAACTTACATTGATATCAAGTTGCAACAAGTTTTCAGTAAGATGCAATGAAAATTAATAATTTTCAACATTTGATGTGGGTGTGGGTGTGGGTATGAGTATATTCATCATTCACACCCAGGCCCAGACCCAGACCCAGACCTATAGACTAACATCCTCATCCTCAAGACGTCTGATCATTAGCCTGTTGCAGGGGTGTAGGTGTGGGTGTGGGTGTAGGTGTAGGTGTGGGTGTGGGTGTGGGTGTGGGTGTGGGGTGTAGGTGTGGGTGTGGGTGTGGGGTGTAGGTGTGGGTGTGGGTGTGGGGTATGGGCAAGGGGGAAACACCGTACTTTATACTTTAAGTACTTTAAAGTACTTTAATGTACTTCAAAGTACTTTAATGTACTTTAAAGTACTTTGAAGTACTTTAATGTACTTCAAAGTACTTTATTGTACTTTAATATACTTCAAGCTACTTTAAGATACTTCAATGTGCTTATACACTTCAAGGCCTATCCACGAGAAGTCTTCATGACTCTTCAGGACCTATCTAGGGGTAGTCTTCATAACTCTTCAACGGCTACCTAAGGGTAGGAGAAGTTACCGTTACGTTACCAAATAACTGGTAACGGAAAATTTTCAGTCCTTTCATTTTCATTTACGCGCCATCTTTTATTGCTTCTCGAATGCCTATCCTATAGAACTGCCTCTGAGCCTCAAATCCTATGCTCCAGGGTACTCGTAGGTCCTCCAGTTCTATCTTATAGGGGAATCTTAGGTCCTTACACCCTATTGTATAGGGATCCCCATAGGTCCTCAAGTGCTATACTACAGGGGTACCCTTAGATCATCAACAGCTATACTATAACAGTATACATAGCTCCTCAAGGCCTATACTATAAGATAACCATTAGGTCTGCAAGTGCTATACTTGCGGGTCCCCATAGATCCTCCACAGCTATACTATAAGGGTACCCTTAGGTTCCCATGGCCTATACTATAAGGGGACTCTGAGTTTCTCAAAAGCTATACTATAGGGATACCCCTAGGTTCTCACGGCCTATACTATAGAAATACCATTAGGTCCTCAAGTGCTATACTATAAGGGTACACATAGGCCTTCAAATGCTATACTATAAGGGAACCCTTAGCTCCTCAAGGCCTATACTATAGAGGTACCCTTATGTCCTCAAGACCTATACTATAAGGCAACCCTTAGTCCTCACGTGGTACCCTACAGGGGTACCCTTATGTCCTCAAGTGGTATATTATAAAGTTACCCTTAGGTCGTCAACAGCTGTACTATATGGGTACCATGAGATCCACAAGGCATTTACTGTGGCCTATAGAATAGCGCTTGAGGACCCAAGAGTCCTCTTATAGTGTGGGCCTTGAGGACCTAAGGGTTCCCTTATAGTATAGCACTTGAGGGTCTGAAGCAAACGTTATAGTATAGGCCTTGAAGACCTAAGAGTAACTCTGTAGTATAGGGTTTGAAGACTTAAAAGTTAGGGGCGCAACGGTGACGATAACCGTAGGTACGGTTGCCGGTCTAACTAAGATAACAGTAAATACGGTTAAGAGTCCAAGCCCGTTTTCGCGAAAGAAAGAGTTTTTTAAGAAAATAACGATTTTTTATAAAGGTTGACAAAAGTGAATCGGGGTTGAAGAACCGAATCTGAAATTAGTTTTTCGATCTGAGCTTTCATTGGTCAGAACGTGGACCAATCAGAAATGAGCTTTTTTATTTTAAGGCTTTTTGACCTTTTGATAAAACTTTGCAATAGGTTATCGATATCAAGGAATTCGAATCTGAAGTCAGTTTTTCGATTTGCCCTTTCATTGGCTACAAAATTGACCAATCGTAAACGAGCTCTTTTATATTAAGGCTTTTCGACAAGGGGAACACCGTACTTTGTACTTTAAAGTACTTCAATGTACTTTGAAGTACTTTAATGTACTTCAAAGTACTTTATTGAACTTTAATATACTTCAAGCTACTTTAAGATACTTCAATGTGCTTATACACTTCAAGGCCTATCCATGAAAAGTCCCAAGGGGGAAACACCGTACTTTTGTACTTTAAAGTACCTTAAAGTACTTTAAGTATCATAAAGTACCTTAAAGTACTTGGAAGTACTTTAAAGTACCTTAAAGGGTATGGGTGGGGTGTGGGTGCGGTGTGGGTGTGGGTGTGGATGTGGGGTGTGGGTGTGGGGTGTGGGTGTGCAGTGTGGGTGTGGGTGTGGGGTGTGGGTGTGGGGTGTGGGTGTGGGTGTGGGTGAATATAGGACT